GTGGAACTGTTAACCATACAGTTGAATATAGGTGTGAAATACAGGATGGAGGTGTGGTCTATACATATTAATTTGATATTCATTAGTATAATAATGCTCTTTAAAACCCATGACATTTGATACTATTACATGAGGAGTTATTGAGGATTAAAAAGAGGAGAAATTTGAGGACTGGATCCTAAAGCATTCAAATTTTAGAGGTTAGGGAAACAGTGAAGAATTAGCAAAAAAGACTCCATGAGGAAGAAGGAGAATGACGTGAATAAGTGTCCAGGAAGAAAAAATGTGTTTCAGGACAGTGCGATTAATTCGATCTAATGTTGATGTCAGGTAAGATGAGGATTTCTCTGGCCCCTCATATATGGAGATTTCTGGTGGTATTATCAGTATCTGATTTGGGCTGTGGAGGACAGAGGCCTGTTTGGAGCAGGTATAGGGAATAAATAGGAAGATAGATATTGAAGACAGTGAAAATCAACACCTTCTTTATGCCTTACATTCTATATCGTAATAGCAATACCAACTCTTTTCTATTAGGATCATTCTTTTATATGATTTCCCATCCTTTACCTTCCAATCTTTCCATCTGTTATGACATATAACTTAGCATAGAGTACATTTTAAAGTCCAATCTATTCAGCATTTCCTGTCATAGCAATATAGGTCAAATTCTATCTTTTTTTCTTTTATTGTTTTGAGACAGAGTCTTACTCTGTCCCCCAAGCTGGAGTGCAGCGGCAGGATCTCAGCTCACTGCAACCTCCACCTTCTAGTTTCACGCAATTCTCCAGCCTCAGCCTCTCGAGCAGCTGGGATTACAGGCGCTGCCGTCGTACCCGGCTAATTTTTGTATTTTTATTACAGACAGGGTTTCACCATGTTAGCCAGGCTAGTCTCGAACTCCTGACCCCATGATCCACCTGCCTCGGCCTCCCAAAGTGCTGAGATTACAGGCGTGAACTACCACGCCTGGCCCAAATTCTATCCTTTAAATTGTTGCTTTATTTTTTATAGATTTTTGTTCATATATTTAAAAACTAGAGATTATAGCAAAGAAAAATTAATAAGTTTATATATAAATTTTGTGGGTTTTTTTTTTTAAGACAGAGTCACTCTGTGGTTCAGGCTGGAGTGCAGTGGTGTGAATCTCAGCTCACTGCAACTTCCTCCCAAGCAGGTTCAAGCGATTCTCCTGCTCAGCCTCCCGAGTAGCTGGGACTACAGGTGCGTGCCACCATGCCCAGCTTATTTTTGTATTTTTAGTAAAGATGGTGTTTCACCATGTTAGCAAGGATGGTCTCAATCTCCTGACCTTGTGATCCGCCCATCTTAGCCTCCCAAAGTGCTGGGATTACAGGCATGAGCCACTGTGCCTGGCCAAATTTACATATAAATTTTAAAACGAATCGATACACACTCATAACAACCAACTAAACCAATACATAAATTCCAGATGCCAGCAAACACATGTTCAGACCTTCCAGATGGGGTTCCCCTACCCTCAGGAATAAATTAATATATTAAATTATTATATAATAATTCCCTTTGCCTCTCTTCATGGCTCCTATGTGCTATGTTATATAACCATGAATTTTATACTTTTGTAATAGCATTACACTGAATGAATGTCTTTGTTCTAGCTTATTTTATACATCCTATTTTTTCCTG